GAAGCTCAGGGTTGTGAGAACTGTTATTTCATGTGTTTTGTCCAGTCTGTTGTGTCCTTTCAGATGGGAGGCGAGTCCAATTCCCACTGCTTCCTTGTGTCCAGAAGTGGAAGTTTCCAAACAAGGCTGAGAGTTGGCGGGCTCAGTAAGCACCCCAGACAGCGGGACACAAGATATCAGAAAGACCGAAGGAGGATGACAGGACAACTAATAGAGACCCAAGCAGAAACCAAAGAGAAAACATCAAGAATCAGCAAAGCTAAGCATTTTCTCCTTTTGGAAAGACTGGTAATAATAAAAGGGACAAAACCAGGTCACTTGAGAAAAAAGAAAATAGAAATAACTATGTAAGGAGCTGTTATGGGTTGAATTGTGTCTTCTCACAACCCCACGTGCTGACATCCTAACCCTGTCTTCAGAGTGGTCTTCACCTGGAAATAGTATCTCTGCAGATGTTCAGCCTCCTTGGAAATAGCTTGGTCCTTCTGGATTCTGTGCTTGAGACTATGAGTGGGATGAGAGCAGTGGTGAGTCCATGTTGAAATGTTTGCCTCCTCTCCTGCAGGTGTAGGCAATTAAGGTGCGGTCACTGGGGGACCTGAATCGAATATGGTAGGTGTCCTTACAAGGAGAAATGGGAATGCAGAGACAGCATAGGGAGGTAGCAACATAGAGGGACCCAGGAGAAGATGCTGTCCACAGGCCGAGGACAGCGACTGGTACCATCTCACCCTAGGCCCTGCCCATCGCTCCCTCTGGGACTTACCGCCCCCAGAACCACGAGCCAGTAAATTTCCATCCTGTAGGTCATCTGGTTTGTGCCACTTGGTTATGGTGGCTGCAGGAGACCCACAGGAGTACAAAAGCAGATACAGGCTAAAAAACAAGAGGGAGCCGAGCATGGTGGTGCCTGTAGTCCCAGCTACTTAGGAGGCTGAGACGAGAGGACTGCTTGAGCCCAGGAATGTGAGGTCAGCCTGGGCAACAGAGCAAGGAAGACCCTGTTCCTTTAAAAAAAAAATGCAAGAGGATATTGTGAACAGCTTAGCTAATACATTTGCGATTTTTGATCAAATGAACATTTAAATGAATAAAACAACAAAACTTAAGAGAAATAGAAAACCTGCATAGTATTATAACCATAGAAGTTAAGAAATCAAATCAGCAGTGAACAAATACCCCACAGAGGAAACCGCAGGCCCAAACGGCTTCACCAGTTGCCCCTCCAAGTCCTGCAAAGGAGGATTTTAGAGAACAGAAAAAGAGGAAATGCTCTCAGCCTCGCTGTGCTTTTGAGACAGGGCTTCACTGCGTTGCCCAGGCTGGAGTGCTTGGCATGACCATGGCTCACCACAGCCTCGATCTCATGGACTCAAGTGATCCACCATCTCAGCCTCCCAAATTGCTGGGACTACAGGCATGCACCACCACACCTGGATCATTTCTTGATTTTTTTTTTTTTGGTAGAGATGAGGTCTTGCTATGTTGCCCAGGCTGGTCTTGCTCAAGTGATCCTCCCACTTTGGCCTCCCAAAGCCCTGGCATTACAAGTGCCATCACGCCCAGTTGCATTTTGCGGTCTTTGAGAAGTTTTTTGTTTAATTTTTAACTCAGGGAGAGGACGAACAGGTTTGTCACATGGGTTTACTGTGTTTTGCGAGGTTTGCTGGGGTGACAGATACCCTGCCTCCCAGGTGGTGGGCGTGGTACTCACCATGCAGTTGTTCCGCCTCTGCTGGCCTGGCACCTCCTCCCCGTTTTCTTCTTCTGGCCTCATTTGCTTCCTCCCAGTCTCCCTTTCAAAGTCGCCAGTGTCTGCTGTTCATCTCTATGTCCGAGGACACCAGTGTTTGGCTCCCACAGAATGAGCTGTTCTGGCCTCCTGACCCCCAGAACCGCAAGAGAACACGTTTGTGCTGCAGGCAGCCCCAGCACACCCGCAGGGGCCTTCCCTGACCTGAAACCCCTCAGAAGCCACCCTGGGCAGCCAGAGGCCTGCAGATCATATACTTCCTGTCCCCTGGTGGGCCTGCTCCTTTTCCAGGAAGCGGTGGACTCCCCCATTTCCCCACTTGTGTGCGGGTCACCAGGGACACCCCCGCCCCCGCCCGTTCCTCCAGGTTCCACAGCTCACCTGCCATGGGATGTACCTTCTCCTTTGAGACTCCAGCCTGCGAAGCCCATCAGGGCTGAGGCCAGCAGAGCTCAGTGCCTCCTAAGAGCTGATGCCCCCAGGCTGGTTTCCACTGGGACAGGGGGGCAGGTATTGCGTGGGAAGACTGGTGTTTAGTTTCTCATTTCTCTGGGCTTTTACATAATCTCTGGTCGAAGAAAACCTCTCCTCTAATGTGAATGGCCAGTGCCAAGGGGTGGAGGCAGAAGCCCACTCCTGTTCTGGGCAGTGGCTGCCCCAGGTGGGGGCCTCCATCCTGCCCAAGTATGGAGTAACAGTATGCTTCACAGCCACTGACAACACCTTCTGAGGGTCTAAGGTTGACAGGCTGGGCACGGTGGCTCATGCCTGTAATTCCAGTACTTTGGGAGGCCAAAGTGGGAGGGTCACTTGAGGCCAAGAGTTTGAGAGCAGCTTGGAAAACGAAACAAGACCCCACCTCTACAAAAAATAATTAACCAGGTGTAATCTGTAGTCCTAACTGTAGTCCCAGCTACTGGGGAGGCTGAGATGGGAGGATCACTTGAGCCCAGGAGGTCAAGGATGCAGTGAGCCATGATTGCACCACTGTACTCCAGCCTGGGCAGCAGAATCAGACCCTGTCTCTTAAAAAAAAAGAGAAGATCGGCTGGGCTCAGTGGCTCAGCCTGTAATCCCAGCACTTTGGGAGGCCGAGGTGAGTGGATTGCCTGAGTCTGTGGGTTCGACACCAGCTTGGACAACTTGGAGAGACCTTGGCTCTACAATAAATTTAAAAAAGGAGCTGGGCATGGAAGCATGCACCTGTAGTTCTGGCTACTTGGAAGGCTGAGGTGGAAGGATCACCAGAGCCCAGCAGGTTGATGCTGGGGTGGCTGTGAATGTGGCACTGTACTCTAGCCTGGGCGACAGAGTGAGACTCCAACTCAAAAAAAAAGAAAGAAAATTGACAATCACGCAGAACTTTTCCCAAGTCCCACCTCAGAGTTGTGACACTATGAAGAAACACTCATGAAGCCACGAGGAAGCCCGCGAGCACAATGCCAGTTTCCTTATCAGAATGCACGGGTGATGCCCCCTCAGGTGTCAGGACATCAGCTGGGCAGGGAAGCTCAGAAACCCCACAAGACGAGGCACCAAGACAGCCACGCTGCCCTGAGACACAGCCAGCTCCCAGGCATCTGTCTGGGTGGAGTCTAGGACATCAGAACAAGGGCTGACACCTGAAGCCAGAGGGACCTGGAATGTCGGACCCTAACTCCTCGATTCATCTACAATAGGAAGAGGCGGACACCTGGTGGCCTCACCTGGTCACTTGTGAACATGTGGGACTAGCTGCACCTTCAAAGGAACGGCTGTAACTTGTTAGTTAAACTTTCCCTTGAAAGAGACCATTGACTGTAATGGCCACAGTAGCTGGTCCACGTGGAGAGTAATCTGCCACGGGAAAAAACACAGCACCGGAGGGTCACTAAACACGAGCACCAGAGCCTGTAGGACTGACCCACTGGTGGTACTCAGCCACGTCCCTGGCTGTCTGTGCTGCTAAAACCTGCAGCATGCTTCTGGAATACTCTGCAGTGGGGTTGGTGAGGTTTCTGCACATCAGCTGAAAGGGAAGGGCAGCGCTGCTCAAACAACAGTCCTGTGGCAACCTTTTGATACTGAAACTGAAAGAGGAGAGCAGCGAGATGCCTAGTTGACCTTCTGGCACTCCTGAGGCTCCTCGTGCAAGGAAGACAGTCCTGTGCCCATCACTCCCACAGCAGCGGGGCTGCACGTGCTGACCCGGTGGAATGGGCACCTTGGCAGAAGGGAAACCAGGACTGAAGCAAGGCCCAGGCCCCAGTGTGTGAGTGGTGGCCAAGCCGAGTGGCTTCCTCCTCAGGGACATTCGGGGACACCCTCCCCTTATGTGTGCTCCATCGCCAGTGTATCAGATGTCCTTCAGGGTGCAGCCCATCATGTCTTAGGAAGCAAGTCTCACCTCCCCAGGGATGGCTTTCAAAACCGCAGGCAGAGGGAGAGCCTGGGAATCGACCTCCATAAAGTGCGTAGGTGCACACAGTAAGGGCAGGAATGTGTGGGTGAGGCACAGCATACTCTCATAGCTTCCTGTGTTTCTGACGTCTCGATGCCCCCAGATGGCAGGTATACCAGTGTCCTAGATAGGCGGGTTCCTCCAGTGATCCCAAGCACGCCGGCCTCCTGCGGTCTGCCTGTCTGGTGGGAGACACCCCTCATGGCCCCCTCATGGGACCTGTGCCCCGTCCCGAGACCTGGTTTAATCCCTGACGTTCACCTGTTCCCCAAGGGCTCCTCACAGACCCACTGACACATTACTGATTATACCATTTTTGTTATTTTAATTGATAAAACTAAAAAATGACTTGACATCAAAGTGCTTTTCTCTCAAATTGCTGAGCTGTCACCTGTCTGCTCCCTGACGAACACCTACACGGGTTTTCAGTTTGAGCCAACATCCTGGAACCGTGTTCTGCCCCTTAACTGCAGACCTATGGGACAAAGGTTGGCGCCTGGGAGGAGGAAGGCTCCCGAGGCCGTGTGTCCCGTGGGTCACACACTCCACGTGCCGATGTTGCCAAGACCCCTAGCACAAGGAAGCTGGAACGGCCCAGGCCCACAAGCTGCAGGCGCGTGTGCCAGAAACACACACGTGGCTGAAGGTGTGCTGGAGAGAGCTTCCTAAGAACGTAATGTCACAAACATGCCCACACACCCTTACCTGCTGGATCCTGCCACTCACCACCTGTCTTGAAAACACACCTTTCTCTTCTATTAGTCTTAACTGAGACACAAGCAGTGAAGAACACTCATGACTCAAGGGTTTGGGAGAGGCTCTGTAAATTTGCTCTTTTTAATGCATAAATAAATCCATATTATGTGTTAATTTCTGGAAGAGAATTAAACTTACAAATGTGAATACTTTCCATATTATATCAGATCAAGAAAAATGTAACAGCCAGAAAATTTATTTTAAAATAGAAACATACATAAAGCTTTAAAACAATCAAATCTTAAACAGGAGAAAAGAGCCATTTGATCCCAGAGTCCATACAGAATGAATGTCCATATGCATCTGAAACTCACATAAGGAACACTTACAAACACAATTTGACATGGGAACCTGACATCCCCACGTCTGCTGGGTGTGGGGACGCGGCCTGGAGTGACCGCAAGCACCAGCTCTGGGACCCAGACGTGTTCATGTGGGTGGGGACATCATAGGTGCTCCCAGGTCCTTCCAAATCCAACATGACAGGAATTCGGGAGATGTCTGAGCAACGATCAAAGGGTTTGGCAACATAGAAGATGCAACGTCTAGCAAATTCCACCACAGCTTCCAAGAATACTTTGTTGACAATCCAAGACTTGTTCTGCTGGCGGTAGCTATAGCCCAGGGCCTTCAGTCTGCATGGGGTTTCCGATTGGGGTTCTCTTCGTAGGACTCCCCGAACTCATTCACTCTGCTCTTATCCACAGGATAAAGCCTGCAAGGACATGGCCCAGAGCATCAGCATAAGGCCCAGCACATGACCATGTGGACCAGTGCATGACTATGCAGACGAGGGCATGACCAGACAGATGGCCCATGGCATGACCACACAAACCACTGCATGACCATGTGACGAGGGCATGACCAGACACATGGCCCAGAGCAGAAGAGCACATGACCATGTGGCCCGGGACATCACCACACACACGGCCTGGAACATGACCACATAGACCACTTCATGACCACACACACCACTGCATGACCACAAAGACCAGTGCATGATCACACAGACAGCCTAGTTCATGACCACAGACTAGCGCATAATCACACATGGCCCAAGTGCGTGACCAGAGACCAGTGTATGACCACACACATGGCCCAATGCATGACCATGTGGACCAGGGTGTCACCACACACACGGCCTGGAGCATGACCACACGACCATTGCACGACCCACGTAGACCAGTGCAGGACCCCACACATGGCCCAGCCCATGACCACACAGACAGCCTAGTTCATGACCACAGACCAGTGCAAGACCACACACATGGCCCAACTCATGACCACAGACCAGTGCATGATCATACACGGCCCAGTGAATGACCAGAGACCGGGCATCACCACACACATGGCTTAGCACATGACCCGGCACACCAGAAGACAAGAGATCTAGGCAACAGGTGAGATCACCAGCCGCAAGCAACCTTTCCCCAATGGATAAACAAGCATGGGGTGCTGCTAAGAAGCACAGTCACACACAACGGCAGCATCCCTGCCAGAGATGGGTGGAGTCTGAGCACCGGCTGGGCGACTCACCAGCGCTGGTACAGGTAGACCAAAAAGACCACGTCGTCCCGGAAGCAGGCCAGCCGGTGGGACGTGGGCATGGTGATGATGAAGGCGAACACATCATCGATGAAAGTGTTGAAGGCCTGTGGGACGGGGCAGGGTGAGGCCTGGTGCCGGTGGCACCCTCAGTAAGCAGCCTGCTCCTGGCAGGTGCGTGGCGCACGATCGCAGCCCTTTGCATGGTCCGCGGCAAGCGGAAGACAGGCACGTGGAAAAGCACTCCGTCCCTGGCAGCCACGGCCCCCAGGACTTGTCCCCCGGCTCTCTACACCTGGGAAGCCCAAGGGAACTGTCCAAAGCTGGAGCCAAGAGCCGACCTGGAGGACCACCGCCCTGTCCTTGGAGTTTGAAATTTTACTTCAGAGACAGCAGGTCATGCCCCAACTCAGCTCTGCCCGCGACAGCAAAGCACGTGGAACTCTATGTGAGGCCAAGGGCCTCACACCCAGGGCTCACCACTCAGCCCTGTGGGAGCAGCCATGACCCAGGGGGGCTCTCACCAGCATCTGCGGGGCTGGATCATCATCCCCTGACCCGGGTTTGACATGTGTTGACAAGAAAGAACACGGCTTTTAATTCAAGTATATCTTCCGTGGCATGACAGAGAACCCTCGCCTTCAAGATGTTTCCAAGCTATTTTATGGCTCTTTGTACTTTTTAAAGGCGATGTCTTGAAGTTTTCAACGACAGGGTATGAGATGCACTCTGGGTGAGACCCCATGTGGCGCTGTCTGCTGAAAGGCGTCCTACAGCAAATATTCCCTGAGGAGGGAGCCCGCCGCATGACGCGCTTACCTTGTAGGTGAAGGCCTTCCAGGGCAAGTGTGCCACTGACTTCATCTGGGACAGAAGAGACAGGACACAGTCAGCTGCGGGCAGCAGCGATGGGCTGCCGTCTATACAGGGCACCTGCAGGCTTACCTTGTAGTTCACGAAGAGCTGGGGCAGCATGAACAGGAAGCCGAAGGCATAGACACCTGAGGAGAAAGAGCACGTGTGGCATGCCTGACGGCTGCACACACATGGCCTACCAGACCTGTGCACAGCTGGACAGAACACCCCTCCTCCCCAGACACCTGTGGGCACGGCACAATGCAGCCCTCGCAGGGAAGCCTACCAGGAGTCACCAGGGTTGATGACTCGCAGAGCAAGGCTCTCACGACCCAGCGTGGCCCTGCCGTGGTCAACGGGCGTGGAGTGGACGCCGGGGCGGCTGGGCTGGGAGGACACGGCCGCCTGCCTGCAAGGTCCAGTAAGGCTCCCACCCAGGAGTGCGGCTGTGGTACAGGCCTTGGCTGCTTCTCAAAAAGACCCCGCAGCGCCCCACAGGACACTGGCCCCGGCACACAGGACCAGCTGCACTGCTGTGCACCCTCGGGAGGCCTAACCTTACGCTCTCCTGTTTCCATGAAGAAAACAGACACAGTTATGTGCTGCCAATGTTTTGGTCCATGAGAAGCCACAAAGGCAGGGAGCTGGGCCTCGTGCCCCGTGAGTGCAAGCACACCCTGCGCCGGCCGCACAGCTTGCGGTCACTCACGCATACTGCCACACCCTATGTTTGGTGACACGGGACGGTGTGTGCTTACGGCACTGGGTCGGGGTCACCATGACTGACAGGAAGAGCAGCATCGGGAGCCCAGGCCACATGGCCCAGGGTGAGCTCAGGCCCCACAGGGTGCTCTCACCTGACCCCCTGTGGAAGAGCACCAGTGGACCCGCTGTCCACAGTCACTGAAACAGGGAACACAGAGACTCACCGTTGACAAAGCTGTTGATCAGCCAAGAATACCAGCTGAAATGGAAAAAAGCAGCTGTAACTGGACAGCCTCACCATCTGCCTCACGTGACTATACAGGCAATTCTGCCGAAGTCCCCCCATGGGCACCTGCCACACGACGGCAGCTGGGATGCTGGGCAGGGAGCCTGCTTTGCTCGGCTGGAGGGTGCCCCAGCACCCATCACCAGAGCAGAGGCCGAGGACATGGCGGGCTGGGCCTGAGACCCTGTGGGGCGCAGATGGTGTCTCCAGCCTGAGTCCCACGCCTGAGACCATCACCCCAGGGCGGGGCCAGGTCCTCTCCCCTCCCTATATGACGGTGAGGAGACCAGGCACAGGGCAGGGCTGGGAGGTGAAGTGGCCCCCATCGTGTGCTCAAGAGCCTGCCCGCCGGCACGTTTTGCCAAACACAGCCAACAGGGTGGGCTCTTGCGCTACCATACCCACCTCTTGTACTTGACGTTCAGGAGCGAGTAGACGGCACCCCCAATGCACAGCGGGTAGAGCAGGTACGACAGGTACTTCATGGCCTGCAGGGACAGGGGCCAGGTCAGAGCATCCTCACGCGCTGGCCCGTGGCAATGGGGTCAGAGAACGGCAGCTGGGCGCACGTGGGTTCAAGGCGACAGTCACGGCGGACCTGTCGCAGGGCTGCCAAGGCCCAGGGGAGCTGAGTGCAGGCTGGGTGCTCATTGGCAGTGCTGTCTATTCTGGCTCTCAGAAAGACACAATGACCCCCGAGCGATCTTGGCCAATTCGTCTGCACTGGAGACCTAGCACTCCTCAGTGGGGGCCTTCTGGGCTGCGTGCTTCCACCCTGCTCTGGCGTGAGCTATACTATCATCTCAAAACTCGACATGTAAACCAGTGACTATTAGGCCAAAAAGCCAGTCATTCCTGCGCATACATGTTCTCTTAAATCCATGGATACTTCCAGCAACCCCACAGTAGTGGGGAACAGCCGATGCCCTGATCCTCTGGGGCCCTCCTTCCAGGCTGCCTTGGCCACTCCCATCACGCTCCCATCTTTGTGACAGCAAGTCGGCTCATGGCAACCACAGGACCAGCACGGCTGTATTAGCTGCATGGCGGACACAAACATACAAACAGCAAAACCTCCCCAGTCGTGAGGGCGACACAGGCAGGGCTGGACCCATAGGCCTGGGGGGTCTCCACGAGCCCCTTTCCTCCCTGGGGAGACATCTCAGTTCAGCGTGTGCATTCCTCAGACCCCTGCCCAGGGCGGGTTCACCCCCTCTAGGAAATAGCTTCTGGTGGAATGATGAGAGCAGGACCCTCGTCCCTGGTGTTCATCTGCCTGCACACGCCCAGATGCCCCACCACTCACCTGAGTGTCGTACTCCTCGGTCTTCTTCTCAGACTCACTGGATGCGCCGAACTGTGGAGGAAGATGGTGTCACCTGACCCACGAAGGCACCAAGCACAGCAGGAGGGACAAGGGAGGAGGAGCAGCCTCTCACCCAGGTGTGTGGGCAACGCTGGCCCAGGCGGGAGCCCCTGCTGCCACGCAGGCCTCGCTCTGGCCTTTCAGAGCAGGGGTGCTGGGCCCCCACCCAGGGCTGGAGAGGAGCACAGGGATGGGCACGTGATCCCCCTGCCTCTGCCCTGGGCCCTGCGCCATGCTGGGTGCTTCACGCCGGGGGAGCACAGCCTGCACCTGTGAACTAGTCACAGGGGCCACCTCAGGTCCCAGGGAAAACGCTGCCTCTGCCCAGAAAGACCCTGGCCCTGCTCTAGAAGCCACGAGGGGGGCAGTCCCCAGGCTGGTGCCAGGATACAGAAACCAAGCTGCCCCTGCTGTTTCCTGTCCTGTAACCCCTCACCCAGGAATGGCGTGTTGTGACGCAGGCACTCTCCTCTATTGGGATCCAGCCCTACTCCGTCCAGGGGACTACGCATACCCAGGATGGGACAGCCGCATCTCAAAAGCAGCGGCCCTGACTTGGGCATGCCCTGGGCCATATGTCAGGGTCCCTCAGCCTTGGAGTGCCCACAGAGAGCAAGTGGTGTCCCTTCAGCGGCCCTGGACTAGTGTCCATTCTCTTGGCAGATGGCAGAGGTACAAGCGCTGGCCTCTGCTCTAAACGGGGTCAAAACTCAATCTATGACTGGGGCGTCCTCACAAGAACAGAGAGCGAGCAGTGGCCGGAAGGCCAGTGTCCACTCCAAGGAGGCTCATTTGCTGGGGGCTGCAGAGCCACCCTGGGGGAGGCGTCCGTGTCCTCCGCCAGCCCCCACACCTGCCCATCTGCTGGCGGGAAGCTCTGTACACAGAGAAGAGGGCCAGACACCCAGCGAGGACGGGCCAGCCATGACACCAGCCGTTCCTACCTGGAGCTGTGGTCTCAGGCCTCTCCAGAGGATAGTCATCTTCAAGGCCTTCTTCACTTTCCAGAGCTGAGGAGACAGCAGGAGACATATGCCCACAATCCCGAGGCCAGGAAGCCCCAGCATGATCTACTCAGGGGCCATGGCGCCTGCCCACCAACTTTTCCTGCCCGCTTCCAAGCTCAGTGCAGACCGGGCCTCCTGCCTGGCCTCCACCTGCACGCGAAGGCCCGTCTGTCCAGGTGGACTCTACAGACACCACTTAGCTGACCAGCAAAACCAGCAGGCGAGCCCAGCCATTTCCAGCCCCCAATTGCCCACTGCCGAAACTCAGCCCCCTTCTCTCTGATGCCCAGGCAGCCTCGCCTGTCTCTAGGCCTCTCTGGACCAGCCCTGTGGGCATCCTCACATCTTCCACAGGCACCCCAGTCTGGGCTCGGGGCCAGCACCTGCCTGAGAGGGTTGTGGTGACCATGGAGGGTTTTCTGCCCACGGCTCTCCTGCGTCACTGAAGCCTGCTGCTCCTTGACAGGCATGACAGCCACAGGTCAGCGCCCGCGCGGGGCTACCAGAACCACAAGGCCCTCAGACTCCTCCTCCACTCGGGACCCTAGGCTGTCCCCGACCCTGGCCCCACCCCTGCTTCGAGGTACGGCTCCCTCTTCCGAGCCCCCAAATGGCCAGGGTTGTAGCACTACTGCCCATCCAGCCGCTGTGCCTCAGGTCTCACCATGGCACAGGCTACCGGGAGCCACGACACTCAGTTCTGCATAGCTCGCAACAGGGCTAACTCGTCTGGAAACACCCCACCCAGCGCATGCGACAAGCACCAGCAGAACCCCTGCCTGTCCCCAAGTCACCCAAACACGTGGCCACGGCTGCTCCCATCCTATGGAGCTCATGAGCCCAGGCACAAGGGCTTCCCCAGTCCCTCAGATGCTTGGGCGGACTCACCTCAATGGCGGCACCGATGCCGGCGGGGACCAGCACTAGCAGACTTGTCTGCTCGTCCAGCAGGAACAGGAAGATGACCACCGTGCTGAAGCAGCGCCAGAGGACTAAGGACAGATAGTGGCTGGGGCGGGCAGACCCCGTGTGCCCACACATACCCTCCCGCCCAGTGCCCCAATCCCAGAAACTGCAAGACCCCTTAGTCCACGTCACCCCAGTTAAAAAAAGAAGAGGGACCACCAGCAGCTACAGCAACGCGGTGAACGGATTAAACGCTGCAGAGCTGACAGAGGGTCACACATCAGCCACACAAACATGCGTGATCTGCCTCACAAACACACAAGTAAGCAGACAGCAGGGAGCCTGGCCGGCGCAAGGACCACTCTGCACCCTCCCCTGACATGCCCCTGATGTCATGCTGGCCCTGACACATGTTCCTGCTTCTTCCAGAGCTGCCTGCACCTTCAAATCCACTGGCTCACTAAACAGCGCCCAGTGCGGGGAGGGGCAGGACCCCAGGGCCACACAAGCCCCAGTCATGGTCACAGTCTCTGTGCACCATCCCCCCACAGGATACCTAAAATAGCTGGAGGGATTCTGCCTAGGATCATTCCTCTCCCAGGAGACAGCAGCCCAGAACAGGGCAGAGGCCCTGTGCCACACGTGACACCATGAGACCCCAAACAACCACGACGCCTGCTTGGCGAGTCTCTTCCACAAGTATAGGAGCCTTGCTTGGGTCCCCACTCTGGTCCCTTGGCCTGGAACGTCAGTCCCAGGTCTGGGCGGGCCTCCCACCAGGTTGCCCAGTCTCAGAGGTCCCGATTCCCCATCCAGCAGCCTCATACGGACCTCACTGCTTCGCACAGCCCCCATGCCTCCACTTGTACCCCCAGCAGGACACATATTCCCTGGCCTGCCCCATGGGGAGGGTGAGCCAGGCCAGGGGACGGGGGACCAGGGTGAGGACGGGAAGTCCCAGCCCTGCCTCAGCAACTATGAGCAGCTGGAAAGCCTGCTGGGTCCAGGCATCTTGCTCTCCACTGCCCACCAGGGGGTCCTGAGGAGGTTGGGGTGCAGGCCACACCATGACGGCCACGACTCCCTGGTTCTTAGCACGCCTGATCTAAAAGGTTTCTCAAGAGGCAACTGCACAGTAGGCTTGTGTCCGCGGTGAGCCTGGGCCCCAAGTAGACACCACTCCAGCTTTCCTCCAGGACAGGGCACGTCTCTGCAGGCGCCTACCTGCCTTGGTAGACATGCCAATCATGCTCTTCTTCTTCTTCCAGAAACTGATGTCATTCTTAAAGGCCAGGAAGTCAAAGAGAAGCTGGAAGGAACACACAGGACAGCGGTACACATCTCCAGCCATTTCTGTCCCCGAGACCCAAGTCTCGGGGTCCAGACAGGTGTCTACAACGAAACCCACTCCTACACGCCATGCTAGTGCCTGGAGTGCTTTTGCTGGGTGCTTCTAAAACATGCAACTTTGACTCACGTCATGGGGAGAACACCCACAGGGTGTTGAGAAGCGTACTCGCCACCCTGGGCTTCCCTGGAGTGTGTGGCCAGCCAGATGTCCCCTGTCCTGTACTCGGGCTACTGCTACTCAGGAGGCAGTCTCACCTCTCACTGCACTAAAATTGCACGAACAGCCAGGCACAGAGGCACACACATGTAGAACCAGCTGCTCAGGAGGCTGAGGCAGGAGGATCGCTTGAGCCCAGGGATTCAAGATCAGCTTGGGCAGCATAGCAAACACTCGCCTCAAAAAGTAGCTATTCATTAAAGTAAACAAAAACCAAAAACCAAACCAACCATGCACAAACTCATTCTTACAGAACTTTTAATAAAAATCATCATTTAACTTCCCAACATGGTTTTGGGCATCTTGGCTTCACTGGCCACCCAACTCCCAGGCCACCCAACTCTTAGAACCAGCACCAGCAGAACCAGTGCCTCTCACCCTCCATCCTACAAGGCCTGGCTGGCAGTCACATGATGGCTTCTTCCAGCATCTCGACGCCACATATAAAATGCAGGCCCAGCAGTCACCCAGGGTATGTACGGCACAGTGAGATGCTGAGGCCATGCAGGTCTTACTACAGCACACCATTAGAACTGTCCTGTCGGCCGGGCTCGGTGGCTCAGCCTGTAATCCCAGCACTTTGGGAGGCCGAGGTGAGTGGATTGCCTGAGCCCGCGGGTTCGAGACCCGCCTGGGCAACTTGGTGAGATCTCATCTCTACAATAAATCAAAAAAAAATCAGCCGGGCGTGGTAGTGCATGCCTGTAATCCGGCTACTCGGAAGGCTGAGGCGGAAGGATCGCCAGAGCCCAGCAGGTTGAGGATGCGATGGCTGGGAGCGGCCACTGCACTCTAGTCTGGGTGACAGAGTGAGACTCCAACTCAAAAAAAAAAAAAGAACTGTCCTGTCACCAGTGACTGTCAACTCCTCCTGTGCCTGACTTGGAAACTGCACTTTACCATGGGTACCAGTATAGGGAAAAACACAGTCTACAGAGGGTGTGCTGCTGCTGGTGGCCTCGGGCAGCCACTGGGGGTCTCCAATGTACCCCCAGGAAGAGCAGAAGACTATGGCACATACCTAGGGCAGCTTTGCTTAATTTTAAAGGCATTATGCCAAAACTTCTCCAAGGAGACACTAACGTACACTCACTTGTTACTCTGATGGAGACGCTGCTCAAAGCATTCCAGGACCTCTTTTAGAAACTGCCCCAAAGCCGCAAAGCCTGAGCCCTGGGCTGTGGATGTGCCCCATGGCTCCCTCGTCTGAGCTGGAGAAGCTCATCAGGACGACGGCCACAAAGACTTGGGTCTGCTGGCTACTGTGAAGGAGGGGACATGGGGGCAGACCCCTGCGAGTGTCAGCGCCTCTGCCTGTGGCCTGGCGAGAACACTCACGTGGAAGGCTGCGACGAAGAAAGTCAGCGCCAGGAAGTACAGGTTGGTGTCCACAAAGATCCCCTTCACCTCATCAGCATCTTTCTCTGAAAACCCTGAGAAGGAAGAAGAAAACCCTAACAGGAACAGTGTCACCCACCCGACATCACAAAGGGCTTTCTGAATGCAGGAGATTTAAATCTTGCCAACCAGCAAAGGCTCATTTGGTCACAATTCTGCCATTCTGAACATTATGTTCTCGATAAAGCAAGTCTCCAGGAGATCAACCAAGGCAACGCAGAGGTGGGCTGGCCCTGACACCGCGGAACTTGACGTGAGCCTGGGAAGGAACGTTCCGCAGTCTGTCCCAGAATCGGACTCGGCCCAGGCTCACAGCCTGGGATCAGGGAGGCCACGGCCACGCACCAAGCTGCTGCAGCGAATGCACGGCATCCTGCATGTGGATCCAGAAGCGCAGGCGGCCCAGTGAGACCTTGTCGTAGGACACGGTGAGGGGCAGCTCGGAGGTGGAGCGGCTGATGACCTGCAGGGGAAGCCTGCGTGAGCACTGCACCTCTATCCAGAGCGTTCCCATGGCCCTGTGTGCACCGCAGCCTGGCCCTGCGGCGCTGCCCACCGCCTCCTCTCCTGGTGGGGTCACACTCCTGTCAGGCAGCACCTCAGAGCAGGCAGGAGGCTCTGCCCCCTCAGCCCCTGCATCTCTTCCCCAACGCCCCCAGGGGCTCAGTGCGTGAGCAGCACTGTCACATGTCCTGTGTCTTTGAGCACGTGAGCCCGATGTTACGAAGGCTGTGCTCAGCATCAGCATTGCCAGGAGTATGTGGGCCCCATAAGAGCAGAGGGTGGGGACTGAGCATGGACTGTCCTGAGAAAGCCAGGGACCAGGGGTGACACACAGCCACATGGCACCTGGGTACAGTGCCCTTGGAGCCTGAGGTCCGGAGCACCGGTGGGTGCCCGTGGGGATGCGAGAGCTTTAGGAAGCAGCACCAGAGCCAGCTTCTGGGGATGAATGGCACTGGCTGCCTCGTGGCACGCGGCTGGTCCAGAGGCACCCAGGGCCCAAGTGTACGCAGCCTGCCGTGGCCAGGTCTCAGGATGCCGAGGTGGGAGGGTGAGGAATGAGCTCACAGAAGGCAAGCCCATACCCGACCGCATGTGGGCAGAGGCCACCCCCATGAGGGCCATGGCCAGCAAGCGCCATGTCTGACCCAACTGCCCTGACTCACACTCCAGCCCGCCATAGCGGGCATGAGTGTCCAGAGTGTGGTGGAGCCACCGACAGGTACCAGTTGGCCAGACGCTAGGCATGAGCTCCCGGGTGCAGCCGACAGGCACTGGGCGCCCCACACAGCACACGTGATGGCAGGCCTCCGCCAGCTCTCCAGCCCCAGGCTGCCTGAGGGTGCCACTGCCTGAGCCCCCACTGTAGCGCCTCCCTGCACCAGGCCCAGCCACAGAAGTGCCCACATTCTGCTGGCTGCTGGCCCCCAGTAGGCCCACTCTTCTCTGAAGACGATGTCTCCCAAAGCTGACCTGAGTGAGACACAGCAAGTGGCCCACGAAACCAGGACTTGGAGGGGCAAGCTGTCCATGCTCGCCTCTGCAGTCAGACACAGGCATTCTGGCTGTGGCCCAGAGCCCTGTCAGCCGGGAGATGTACAGACGCATGGTCAGCCAAGGCCTCACAAGTGCTGACGAGGCAGGCGCCATGGTTCAGAGCTCTACCTCATACGCTCCAGAACTGAGCACGGCCTGAGGCTTGTAAACAGCGCCAGAAATGCTCCAGGACACAGGGGAGGCACCCAGGGAAGCTGGGAGCCACCAGGGCACCCAAAAGCAGAGGAGTTCGATGGGTATGAGCAAACAGCCGCAGAGAGGGCCGCAGTCAGCAGAAGCCAGTGGGGCCAGGGGCGGGTCTACACGGCCAGGTGCCTGTGACTGCCGCACACCCAGGTAGCACCTGCCCTCCCCAGGCCTCAGTTTTCTCGGCTACTCGACACCAAGTGCCCACTTCAGCGTCACGGGAGTGCCTGAGTGAGAACAGGTGGCCCGGCTCCCAGCTGGTGCTCCCAATGGCCACAGCTCGAGGGCTCACGAGTGCACGTGACCCCGCCAAGAGCTCACCCTCGAACCCCAGATGACAGCGCCACAGCTCCAGGCACCAGGCCCGCTGAAACGTCCACCAAGAGCTTTGCACACGCCTGGTAGGTCGTAAGCGACATTAAGTATTAACCATTTTTATTATTCCTGCTGTGGGCCAAAGGTCGGCCGCCCTTTACTCCCTGCACACAACCCTGGAGAGCAGGAGCCATGACTGCCCAGAACCACAGGATGCCAGAGCCCGGCCGGCCCCTTCTCCATAGCCACACAGGACCTTCACATGCCACGGCCACCCCAGAAGCTTGGCTCTGAGGAAGCCCCAACACACCCCTCTGGTCCTGCCCGGGGGGAGGCAGGAGTTGTACAGACACTTTGTGGACTGTCTATGCCTCTCATCAGGAACACGCAGAAGTGGCTTCACATGGCACCCTGGGCACCTCCCGTCTAACCTTCCTATGCAATCTTTCAAGGGCCTTTCACCAGCGGGGACCTGGGGCTCGGTAGGAACCCACAGCTGCCCACAGCAAACCTGGATCATGGCCAGGTCCCTTGTTGCAGTCTGCACACACCCACGAGGCAGCGCTCTCCACAGGTAAGAGCTTTGTGGCAAGTGTCAGAAACGCCCCTCGCTCAGGACCATGGAGACTGCCAGGCTTGGTGTGGCGTCTTGTGTGGACGGGTCCCAGAGCAGGTGAGCCCAGGGCGAGACTCACCATCAAGTCCTTCACACGGTTGCTCAGCTGGTCAATGAACAGGATGGGCAGGTAGTGCACGGTCTTCCCCAGCTGGACCCTGTGGCGGAGCACAGCCCCCGTCAGTGGGAAGACCTCTAGCTCCAGGGAGCCCACACACCTGGATGCCAGCTGTGCCCAAGACCCTCCTGCGCCCGCCCACTCTCCAGTCACAGCAGCTGCAGGACGTGAGCTTCCCGACAGGACCAGAGGCAGACAACGCGCCAGGTCACAAGAGCCACCCATGCAGTTATGGCTGTGCGGGGAAGAACTGCTGTGGCCACTGGGAGGCGGGGAGCCCCAGGAATGGCCACACGATGGAGTCTGGGAACCCGTGTCCTGACATGAAGAGGAACAAGCCCACCGCCACCCATGCCTGGACAGGGCAACCCACCTGCGACCAGGCTGCTGAGACGGGGGCTGGAGGGCAGCAGCAGAGGGCTTTTCATCAAATAACCCTTTTGTACCTTTCATACATTGAACTGTGTGCATCATGTACACAAAGATAAGACTTACATATTTAAAAAGAACATGAGACCCTGCAACACTGCCACAGGGACTGCAGTGAGGATGAGGAACTCTCGTCACAGCCACTTCCTGGGGCTGCAGGAGTACGTGCTGACAGACCCTAACACTGGCTCCCAGCAGGGGAGATGTGGGCAGCCTAAGGAGCCCAACATGTCAACGCTGACCATACTAGCGATGGCAAGTGACTCCGCAGTAGTGATCCAAAGGCGAACATCTAAGTTGTTTAACAAGTTGTGTTAAACACCCCTAGGAGCAGAGTGTCCCCACTGCCCAGGGCCCCCGCCCTCTCTCCATGGAGCCTCCCTGTTCAAGAGTCCCTCCTCCCTCCATCCCTGGGGGATTCTTCACTGGAGCACCCTCCACGAGGTGGCAGGAGGGTTGCCAGGCAGCAAGTGCCTTGCCAGGGCAGGCCCTGGGATGGAGGGTGGTCGCTGGCGGGTTCCAGCTAGCCAGGTCCAGTGTGCCTCTACCCAGCCCCCCGGTGGTCCACCCTCTGCTGGTGCCCTGAGTGATACTCACATCTTCATGTAGCGGTGCACGTCAGCAGGCAGGGACGCCCCGTCGAAGACGAAGTTGTCCACCATCACATTTAGCGTCAGCCTCGTTCTCCAGTGGGAAACTGGCTCGTCCAGGGCACTCATTGGCTTCTCCACTTCGATCTGCTGCTGCACGAGGAAACAGAGGCCAGGGCCAGGGCAAGCAATGAGCCTGGGCAGCAGGCGGTCAGCAGCTCATCAGAGAACAGGCCAACTGCCCTGGCAGGCACAAGTGGGGGAGGAGAGCCCAGGGGTGTGGCCACCGCTAACCCACAGCTACCCTACTCCAGCCCCTCGCCACACACACCCCTCTCAAGGGAAGAGGGGTGCTGTCTCTCCAGACGCTCCCCACACACCTCCGCTCCAGGGGACGAGGTGCTGTTTCCCCAGGCCCTCACCACACAACCTCCTCGAGGAAGCAGGGTGCTATTTCTCCAACTGTCACCACACTCCCTTCTCCTCTCAAGGGAAGGAAGACAAAGGGGTCTGCCTCACATGTGGTCACAGACTTCATTCCTTTTTCAGGGTCCTCAAGCTAAGTGGGCCCCCTTGTGGGACCCTGAGATGGGTGAGAGCCCCGTGACCTTGGCAGTAGACTGAGCGAGTCTGGAGCTGACTGGCCCTGTGCGTGGGGAGACTGGCAAGGGGATGCTCCTAGGCCAGACACTAAGGCTGAGGGGGAAGAAGTGCTGAGGAGGAGGCGTCATTCCCCAGAAGCCAAACTCAGAAGGAAAACAGCCTGGCAGGGACATCCACTTCATACCTACTGATAAGCTCTACTGAACAGCATGAATTTATTTATTTCCTCCCCAGAGAGATGGTTTCAGCTATAGAAGTCCACACCTCGTACAGTAACAGCTCAGTTGTTCCCATCTGCTCCCTCCCAGAGAAGGCTCCGTCCACCATACAGCCATCACCAAGTGACGCCTCAGGACGCTTGTGAGGTGACTGTCCCATTGTGAAGGGGACATGGAATTGGTGAGGAGAACTCTTCCAAGGAGACACGGAGGGAGTACACCCCAGGAGAGGAAGGAGCAGGCCTGGTGGGGCTTTCCGGCCTGCTCGTAACCCAAGACGCCGGCTTCCTACGTCTGGACAGTCTCTCAGCTGCATCCTGAAAAGCCTCCATCTATCCCTTAAACATCTCTGCAACCCCAAGGTGGACGTCGGGAGTCCCTTGCTCTGTGCATAGCCCTGCTAACGGTCACTCATGTGACTTCTGGACAGGATGTAACTTACTCGAATACCTTTTGTGTGGCTTTAAATTACGCTCTTAGAATAAACATCCAAGAACAGTCCTGCCCTATAGATAACACGGTTGGAAAGACAGAGGCCTGCCTGAAGGACGGGTCACCCCCCCACTGGGTGGTGACATGGGCTCCCGGGGGCACTGAGGCCCTTGGCCTGGGAGTTCATCTGGGTAGAGAACGCCAGAGAGTGCTGAAACTGCCCTAATTTGACTTGAAACTTACATGCAAACTCACGGGAAAATACTCAGCTGAACGACAGCAACAAGTGCCAGCAACATCCCAATGGCTTTACTTTCCAGCAAAGTCACAGAGCCCTGGGCACCAGCAGCCCGCGAGGAGAGAGAGGCACGCGTCAATTCTGAAGGGGAGAGTGCCCAGCTGCTCCGTCAGGGCCTATGAGGACCTCACCTGTGCAGACTCCCCCATGAGCAGGTTGACTTCTTCCGGCTTGGGGACCATGTAGGTGGTCAGAGGACTGACCAGGTGCACCTGCTTCCCATCGTGCCACGGCAGAATCCCGGCATGGTGGAGGAAGATGTAGGCATACAGCGTCCCATTGTTTCGCGTTTTCTTTGGTACAGAAACGTTGACTGTCCTGAAGCAGAACAGACCGGCCTTTCAACCACAGAAGCATTACACTCCATGTCTACAGTGGAGCGTCTACCCACATATTTAGACAAACGAGGCTGTCTCAAGTCCGCTAATTTTAGCTCAGATGTGCTGAAGATGAAACCCACCTGCCTCTGACCTTCCTGAGTCCTGAACACAGATGTGGCTGAGCATTTTCTGAACATGTGTGCAGCTGTTGCCGAAAGCAGAACATGAGGCTGAGAGAGCAGTAACTAGCCAAGGTCACTGGGTAGAAGTGGCAGGTGGAAACTGGCACCCGAGCCTGGCCAGGTCACCGACCGATTCTAACGCACACTGAACACTACAACTTATGAGGTACAGAATTAGAGCTCAGCCCACAGGATACACACGAAGTTTAACCACATGTGCAACGTGTGCAAGACGTCTTCCATATGGCGAGAAACACTCAGAAGTGTAACATGGGAAGTTTCTGAAGGTTTGCCACACTCTTTAAGAAAGACATCAGGTCACAAGCCACAAATGCCCAGCTTTCAGGTCTGGTGGGCCCCGGCCGCCCAGCATCCTGGGGCAAGCCAAGTTGAGCCCCAAGTCTCTGCTTCACCAGGCCCCAGCCCGGGCAGCAACTCTTTCCCGGCACTCCAGGCTCGCTCTCCATGCGAGAACCTCATGTAAAAACCACATGCCCACCGCTACGATTACAGCCTTCCCTCCTTGATCTTTTACAACCGTATGGTCAAACTTCTAAGTAGCTCCTGCTACAAAGAGAAACACAAAGGAACGCAGGACTCCTCTCCACCCAGGAAAAAGAGCAGGTCTCTACTGGGACGTGAGAGTGGCTCCCCGACATCGGCGTCTCTGGTGAGCCGCACACCGCACCAGCACACCTGTTCTTCCCACTACCTCCAGGCTCAGGGGAGAAGCCAGGAACCTCTGTCTGTCCTCGGCAGCTGTTACCCGGCCTGGGCAGAGGGGGCAGTCCTCAGTCTAAACCCAAGCAGATGTCCTAAGCCTGGTGAAAAGCAGGGCTGGTATCACTAAAACGTGAAGGATAGCACATCCTGCCTCCACTTCCCAGGGGCTCCAAGAGGTGGGTAACTAACTCGCAGGGCAAGAAGTGGCCAGGCAGAAACGGACCAGCAAGGTGCGGCGTCTGCCCAGGGCACGGCCTCCAGCTCTCCTACAGGAGAGGGCCGAATAGGGACCACTTCCTGCAGCACAAAGCCTCACATTTGCATTACCCTCTGATGCTTCCCAGGCAATGGAGAGGCGAAAAGGCCGCATCGTGAGAAGTAAACAACATGTAAAATCACACCTGCTGAACTGAACAAACAAAAAGCACACGTCCTACTGGACACTGGGCTAGCCAATGCCACGTGTCACCCAATTATGATTTTCTGCAAAGCTGTGTCCTCCTCCCAACCCATCTTCCTTCCCAAGTGACCCAGGTGAGCCACATCCAGGAAAACACAAGCTGTTCTTGGCTGTGGAACGGCACAAGCCGTCCTGCACTGTGTCACCAGCGTCAGCTAGCTCCTGGGGAGGTGCCCCACTGACTCTGTGGCCAGTGTAGGCAGCCTCCCCTGTCACCCCCAGTTTAACGCCTGTGTGCTGCGGACAGGTCTCCAGGAGGAGAGCTCGACTCTTTCAGACCCCGGGGGAAACCTGGTCTCCGGTTAAGCCTCCGACAGCAGAAGAGAGCTTTGAGCTCCTATCAGCCGAGGGGGTGACCCCCGGGGCCATACATCTCTCACTCGGGCCCTGCCCCGGGCCATACCTCTCACACTGGGGCTCTGTCCACGGGCCTACCTCTCGCACTGGGGCCCCGCCCCGGGTCATACCTCTCAGCACTCACGCTCACTCAGGCTCAGTTCCCAGGCTATACCTCTCACACTGGGGTCCCGTCCCCGCGCCATACCTCTCGCACTCGGGCTCTGTCCCCGGGCCATACCTCTAGCACTCCGCCCACCCCGGCCTTACTTCTCACACTCGACCCGTCCCCGGGACACACCTGTCACCCTCGGCCCCGCCTCGGTCGTACCTCTCAAACTTGGACTCCACGTCGAAGTCTTCCACGTTCAAAATCAGGTCGATGTTGTTCTCCGCACCCAGATGGGAGCGCGTGGTGGTGTAGACGCTCAGCTGGAAGGGAGGCGGCACGGTCAGCACGGCCGGCGCCCGGC